AGAGAGACCCAGGTTCTGTTCCTGCTAAGGGCACATACCTCGGTTGCACTTTTTCCCTGGCCCTGGTTGGGTCATGTGGGTGGCAGCCATTCGATGTGTCCCTTTCACGTTGATGTTTCTCTCTCTCTTCCTCTCTCTCGCTCCCACTCTTATCTGAACAAAAAATGGAAACATGTCCTCGGGTGGGGATAAAAAGAAATCTATTTCTGAAAATTATCTAAATGAAAAATTTTTTTACAAAAAGTGTAAAAGGTTTTTATTATTTGTAACATAGGCACGATTGTTTAAAGTTAATAACATTTTTATTTAAGAAATTTCCCATGTTCTGAGCCCTTCCACACACTGCCTTAGTTTCTCCAGAGTTTGACTCTTTAATTCCTTTTTTTTGCTCAATCCAGTTGTCATTTCAGTCAGTCTTATATAATAGTAATAGAGATGATCATGTGATCACAAACTATTTGGTCACTAGCAACCTAGAAGGATTACCTCAACAGAGGACATCTGCAAGACTCTAGAGATCTAAGGTGATCTCACAGATTACCATTGGCTGTTACAAAATCACATATAGTTTGTGTTGCATTTATATTGGGCAGTGCTAATCTAGGCAATGAAAACAAGTAAGAGTTAAGAAAATGTTCCCAGTAGGCTAAATGCTACCAGCGTAGCAGAAAGAAAACCCAGCGGGAAAATATTTTGTGGTCATGTCTACAGCAAATGGGAAACTGCATTCTAAAAGCCTTGGTAATGACCATTTCTAAATAAAATTTAAAATGAAAAAATTAGAAATAACCCAGATGCTTACCAGCTTGGAAATGAATTGGAAAATGTTTTATAAAGTAGTAACCTTGTAATATAGTAGCCAAAAGGTTAAACTATAGCTGCTACAATAGTGTGGATGAATCTTAGAAAACACAATGTTGAGTGAAAGGCTTAGGAGGTTATAAAGAGCGTGAAAACCTTTTTATAAAGTTAAAAAAAAAAAAAAAAAAAACCTGAAGCTAAATCTGTTGTTTAGGCATATGTGTAATATATTTAAGACAACAATTTACACCATATTCAGAAATTATTGCACACAGAAAGATCCATGCTCAGTTCTTAGTTTATGAAAAAATGCCCACTTATTAAACACCTGAGCTAAATGTATAAGAGTGACTAAATGGAATATATGGTTTGTGAAGCATTAAGGTGTAAAGTATGAAAGATGATAGAAATGTCCTCTTTTTCACGTTTAGGAGACTTTATGAGGATCTTGCCTGTGTTTTTTTTGTTTTGCTTTGTTTCTTCTTATTTTCCCTGAGTAAAATGTAATCCTTGGGATAGAGGGCTGAAGTTGCAAAGTGTAGAAGAACACATGGACTTTGGGGCATTGACACACAAGCAGCTGTAATCCAGATCTGCCACTTACTAATTGTGTGATCTTGGGACAGTCACTTTGCTTAACTTTGGTTTCCTTGTATGTAAAGAGTGGGTATCATTCCGCCCGTGTGGCTCAGCAGCTGAGTGTCAACCCATGCACCAAGAGGTCACCAATTTGATTCCTGGTCAGGACACATGCCCAGGTTGTGGGTCCGATCCCCAGTGGGGGGCATGCAGGAGGTGGCCAATCAATGTTCTCTCTCAACGGTATTTCTGTCTCTCTCCTTTTCACTTCCTCTCTGTCTAAAAATCAATAAAGGAAAAAAAATCTTATTCAAAAAAAGAGGGAGTATCAAGATCTTTGCAGGATTGTTGTGAGGATTTGATATGGTATTTATAAAACATCTTACAGAAAATAGAAATTCAATAAATGATAGTCCCATTAAGTAATAATTTTTCCACATTGTGTAACAGGAACATTTGGCATAACAAATGAGTCTTTGTCTTATAGTAACTGAGTAAATATACTTTAAAAGGAATGTAACGTCTAAGCTTGAAATGTGAATCTCATTTGCTTTGAATCAATCACAATGTGGAAATTTTGAGCTGTATAAGCAGCTAGAACACACTATTACTAAGATCATCATCTTGGATTTGAACTTCACATCGGCCTGTCAGTTCTGTTTCGGTCCACAGACTACTCCAGCACTCCTCACAATTAGTTTACTGATATGTGCCTTTATTCACAAGTGGGGTTAAATGAGAAAATAGTTCAACACATCTTATAATTCGTATGTTTATGAGAAAAAAATGAGATATGAGAAAAAAGTTCAATGTTTGTATGTCTTACTGATGATTTAATATTACCTTTATATTCTAAGCTAATATGTGCACTTAGTAAAGACCCACATGTAAAAACAGAATTAAGCAATATTTCAAATTATTTTATTAGTCTTCTACAAATAGTGCTTGTTTTCATAGTATATTTATTGCTTACGAGCAATGAGTTCATTCTGAAGACTCAAGGGCGTTTACCTGCAAACAGATATAACTAGATAGTGGAAGTACAGGTTTTCCTTCCCACCCACAGTCCTTATTTCTGAAATGGCTGCTAATACCTCCTCAAACTGATAGTTCTGAGAAGCTCAAGGAAAACCAGTGCGGGCAGGTGTTTTGCTCCTTGGCAAAAGTATTTGTTGCTTTGGACTTCCTTCTGTCTGTCCTCCAACTGAAGAGAAGGACCTTTGGAAGGAAAGTTAACCAAGTTTCTCTGCTTATTAACCTAGATGTTGTTGTCCTGGTATGTTGTAACCAACCTGAATCTCCTATTCAGGGGTTAGTAAATGCTTATTGGTTGGTTGGTAGAAAGACTCATGGTTTGTGACAGGCTGAATTGAGCTATGGGTGGACCACAGGCAATCCCAAAGCATTCAGATTTATTTATGTATTCACTATTCTGTATTTTAAGAATGTATCAGTGACTTAAGAGTCTAGATGTCATGTAAACAGATAGCCAAGCAGGCCTGTTTGGCTTTGTGGTTCCAAAAACTATTCAGTATAAGTTTAACTTAAAGATTTTTTTAATTTTATTTTTTTATCCTCACCTAAGGACATTATTCCTTTTTGTTGTTGTTGTTCAGATAGGGTGGGAGGGAAGGAGGGGGAGAGAGAGAGAGAAACATCGACATGAAAGGGACACATCTAGTGGCTGCCTCTCGCACAACCCAACCAGGGCCAAACTGCAACCGAGGTACATGCCCGTAGCGGGAACCGAACCTGGGTCTCTCTGGACCACAGGCCGACGCTCTAACCACTGAGCAACCGGCCAGGGCTAACTTAAAGATTTTAATGAGTGCTTGCTTACTATGTTTTGAAGTATTGCAAGGCTTAAAGTGAAACAATAAGCTATCTATCCCCATTCAGCTTTAATGTATAACATGGAATATGTCTAGCTAGAAAGGAATCAAACTAATTAAATGTGAATGTGTTAAATGGAGGCTTGTGTACTGTATTTGGATATGCGAACTCCGCCTCCTCAAAAAAGTGATATTTTCTTACTGCTGCATGCCCAGTGCCTAGATTTCTGCCTGACAGCGAGGAGTACTTGGTGAATATTGAAGGAAGGGAGGGAGGGAAGGATGGATGGATGGCTGACTCTGGGTCCAGAGGTAATGTTTGAAGAGATCTAAATATAAATGAAGCTTGGCTGGTGTGGCTCAGAGGTTGAGCATCGACCCATGCAATAAGAGGTCACCAGTTTGGTTCTAGTCAGGGCACATGCCCAGGTTGTGGGCCTAATCCCCAATGTGGGGGCATGCAGGAGGCGGCCAATCGATGTTCTCTCTCATCGATGTTTCTATGTCTCTCCCTCTCCCGTTTTCTAAAATCAATAAAGAACAAAAAATTTAAAATATATATATATATATATATGCAAAACCTAGAATGTTTTATTTTCCTTAGTAAATTAATGATTTTCTTCCTAATTTTAAATATGCATAAACTTATATACATTCTTACATTGTATCAGTTTGCCTTCCTCTAACAATATGAAAATGCCTGTTGACCTGCAAAATCTGGTTCTTAGCATATTTTTCATTGAGCTTAATCTCACATTAGTATGAACCATTTATGAAATTTTAGTAATATTCAAGGATAATTCTTTTCTTTAGGTTTCCAGAAATTAGTGAGTCAAAGTACCCTTTGATAAGAAATCTCTAGAATGGAATAAATCATCTTGGGATATATTTCCTGAAGTTATATGTTCCTCTATACAATTAGACCCTTGAATAGAAAGAAAAACAAACTTGTTTTCAATCATCCAGAACATTCTCAAAGAAAATCTTTATCATCCCTTATCCCCTTGTTATTTATGTAGCTAGAAAGCAAGGTATAAACATCTCCTTGGATAAATAGATATATGTGGGTATGGGTGGGTGAATTGGTTGGTAGTTTAAGAGAATATGCCAATGTGTCCTTAGGATGTTCCAGGGTGGGAGAATTTTTAAAATATAGCGTAGTTTTATCTTCTGATTGGGAACAAAATATATACTTAATACAGAAATGTGGCAAATACAGCAACATCAATAGGGGGTGAAATAGACATTAATCAGAAAAGATTTTACATTTTTAACTTTCAAGGATTTTTTTTTTCGTTTTTCATTTCTGTCTAAAATGTCACGTTTTTGTTACTTTGGAGAAGAAATCACAAATGCCTGAGAGTATAATATTTAAATAGAAAATCTGCTTTAGCTTTTCTTAAAACACCACCTTTACCAGAGTAAATTAAAGAATTTTAATAGCCAGGTATGTAAGGATAAAAGATAGAGGTGGATTATGTGCTTATTAAATTAATCTAACTGTCTCTTGTACCATCTTTGCTATGGAGTATTACCCAGTGTTAATTGTCCTCCTGTTGTCCAGTTTTTATCCCAAAGTGAGGGGAATTGATGAGGATATGTGCATCGTGTTATGTCTGATCACAGTTTGACTAGCACAGTCTGGAAGTGGGTTGTGCAGGATGAGAGCGAGCAGCCTAATTGCCCTCCCTGCATCAGCAGCATCTATAAAGCATCCTGGGAATTGCTCGCCCTGCGTTCAGAGCAGCTGGTCACATGAGCCTGAATTTTCAGTTCAGTTCATTAGTCAGCCATTTTGGTCAACACCCTGCTTACTGCGCACAACCAATCCTATCAGAACTCAGCATCCCGGCTCATCTGAGCAGATCCTAGAAGTGGTTTCTGCAGTTCAGGATTTTTTTAAAGCTAAACTGAAAATATTGGTTTATTTTTTTGTTGTTGTTCATTTTTTTTTCTTTTGTTGTTTTTTTTTCTGCACAAAGAAGGAGGATTTTTCACTTGTACATGCAGAGGCCAATTTTTTAAAGCCAGCTAAGGCGGCAGCTGTGCAGGATTTAAAGCCTATAGCTCCGCTGAAGAAGAAGGGGGTAGGGAAGGGAAGATAAAAGGAGTGAAGCAGGGAGAAGACAAGCATCATTTTATTTTGCTATGTAGTAGAAACCATCTATAAGAAAAGATAGTATAGAATTGTTTATCTTGAACAGTTGGTTCTTAAACCATAAGATATTTTTCCTTGTGTGTGTTCTTTTTTAACCTCCCACACCCCTTGAGAGCTTTGTTCCAAAGCTTTGGATTTGGGGGGTTTTGGTGAGGAGTTTTTATTTATTTTTGTCGGGTGTGTGTGTGTGTGTTTGTGTGTGTGTGTTGTGGTCCCAGCTGAGTCATCATGTCCGCTCTGACGCCTCCAACCGATATGCCAACCCCCACCACTGACAAGATCACACAGGCTGCCATGGAGACCATCTACCTTTGCAAATTCCGAGTGTCTATGGATGGAGAATGGCTCTGCCTGCGAGAGCTGGATGACATCTCACTTACGCCTGACCCAGAGCCTACCCATGAAGGTATGGTCAGACCCCGTCCACTAGTATCTCACCAGCACCCTCATTGTTACAGCTGGCTGGGAGGGTCAGGGACAGGTGGGAAGAACCCACACTCTAAACTGTTAACCCTAGAAATCTTCCTTCCTTGCCTACCACCCAGCTCCTCTTCTCCACTTTACTGGGAAATACATATTTGTCCCTGCCCCCTGAGATATCCTTTCAAAAGAAGCTGCTGCTTGTTTAGAGTTCTTTGTCTTTAAGCCTCTAGAGAGAACATTTGAGGTCACTTATCACATCTGACCCTGATTGATAATGAAAAGTCAATTAATTTTTATTATATACTAAACTATTACAGAAATTGCAGTGACTCTGAATAGAAGGAGTTAAGACAGCATGACTTTAATTGTACATGATACAATTGAAACACTCCAGGGGTTTCCTAGCATCAGGATATAGTGTTAACCAGGCTATGATATCTAGAAAAGTATTTGGTCAAACATTATCGTTTTTTTAAATAATATGGATTAGTAATTTAGATGAGAAAGCTTTACATCCAGTGTTTATTTAATGAATATGGACTCTTAAAACATAATGCCTGAGAAGATTAAACATGATTAATAAGATGATCCCCACCCATGGAATCCTTTGGCCATTGCTTTTGGCAAGTTATTTGTGGTCACTATGATGACCCATTTGAAATTTCCACCATCAGTACCTTTGAGACCTTTGTGGTCTCTTGACTTGTGACTGTCTCCTAGAACCTTTTCTAAATTGTGAGAGGTTTTCAGCTTCTACCTCTAATTCTCTTAATTCAATACGATAAAGAAGATAATTAATTTGAGTCACACCTCCAAATTTTTTGGTTTTTCTTATGTACTAGTGGCTTCTTAGCTAGTGTTTATTCTGTACCATTAAAATAATAAAGACAGAAATGTTCACAAATGAGAAAAATTCTTCATAAACATCTCCCTAATGTTTAGGCATATCATAGCAGATTGCGTTAGGGAAAAGTGATTCCTTGCCCTTGACCTTACCTTGCAATCTTTCCATGACTCAGATTTCACCCATTGTGTCTGATAAGAATTATTTTCCCTGTTAGATTTAGCCTTGAGTAAGTATTAGAGAGGATTAACATTACAGAACACAAAGCAGTCATTTGGGGTGTGTTTGAAGGATAACAGTTAAGTCGTTTTTAAGACCCTCTGCATCTTGGAACAACTGGTTTGTCAGTTAGATGCTTCCTTCAGCTCTAAGTTTCAGAGTGTGCACAAGGCTTGAAGACATGAGCTGGGGTTCCATACAATGACGGTACTGTTTAAAACAGCCTTTAGGGATAAACGTGTGTTTAGAAGTCTACCAAAAAGACTTTTAGCAAATGCCTCAATTTGAATATTTTGTTTTAATAAGTATTCCCATCCTAAAGTCATGCAATGTGAAATATTCCCTTCATTGAAAAATCTATTGTATCACAGTTTTGAACAATTTTACTACTTTGAGTATATATTTGTTTTTTGAGCAGGATTCAATGGGTGAGCAAAAGTGAGCTATTTGGTCTATGTAAGCATTTTTAATGAAGAAACCTGGGACAGAAAGTGTATGAGGGCTGCAACCTAACCTATAAGTGGCACATCCTTTGACTAAGGAAAACAGACAAATAAGTTCTCAACCCCTTAGAATCAACTATAGAGGATGTGAAAGGAAAGAAGAAATGCTGACAGTGAATTTGGAATTTTGCTTTAAATATGGTAAGAGAAGCAAGATTCTCAAATGGTTGGAAATGGAAATAATAGAAGAAATCCCAGGCCCAGAGAAGCATCTATAGGTTTAGTGATTTAGGAAACCAAGTGGAACTTTTATTTTCTTGTTCCACTGGTTAACTCTGGATGTATAACCATCATTTGAACCCAAGAAATGTTTGTTTTAACATTAATACTAATGACAATTGTTAGGTTTAATTCAATTATCAACATTTAAATGGTGGCCACCAGGCCAGTGATAATGTGAATCTCACCTTGTTGACAAAATGGAGAACCTGGTGCTGGACACACAGGAGTATTCATAGAAAACTTCCCAGCTCGCCCTGACCGGTTTGGCTCAGCGGTTAGAGCGTTGGCCTGCGGTCCAGAGAGACCCGGGTTCGGTTCCCACTAAGGGTGCGTAACTCCCCAGCCCTGGTTGGTCGTGCGGGTGGCAACCACTTGATGTGTCCCTTTCAAGTTAATGCTTCTTTCTCTCTCTCTATTCCTCTTTCTCTCTCTCTCTTCCTCTGTCTCCCTCCCACTCTACCTAAACAAAGAATGGAAGAATGTCCTCAAGTGAGGATAAAAAAAATAAATAAAAATAATGATAAATAAAAATTAAAAAAAGAAAACGTCCCAGCTGATCCATGAAGGGAGAGACATCTGACCACACAAGTCCTGCAGTGGAGCCCCCTGACTCCTGCAAGAGAAAGTGGGCAAAAAGCATAATTTACCCTCTTAAAACAATAATATAGATAGTGTAACCTCAGAAGTAGAAGCTTTGTAGTTTCCAACTTCTGTTTTCTGAAAACAATCCTGCCCTTCACTGTGCAGCCCACAGTGCAGGCCTGAACCTAGAGTTTCTGCCTGGCCTAACCCTTACATATGTGGGAATAAAAAAATTCACTTTATTATTCTAATGCCCACTGGTGGTCAAGGAGGTTATCTCTTTCATTTCTTTTATTTTTTAATATCCTTTCTTAAAAAAAACAAAAGCAGGTCTACAAATCTTTGATTGTAAGTAGATTTCCCCAGACAAAAGCCTACGATTGATTCTATAGGGGAGGAGACAGGTCAAGAAAGGCTTCATCTAGTAAATGAGACTTGGGCTGGACTTTGTGTGATAACTATGTGATCACCAAGCGGATCTGGCGAGTGCATTTTAAACACTGCATAGTGAGCAGGCTGAGCTGGGGAGTAGCAGGTAGTGAGGAGTGGTACCTACCTGATGGAAAGTTAAGATTAAATGAGATAATTAATGTAAAGCAGCCTGTGAACATTAGTTATTTGTGTGATAGTTATTCATAGAGCAGTAATCTGAACTGCACAGTTAAAACCAGATTCCTAAGTATATTACCCTTTTACTGTATACTTCTGTTTTTATATTTAACCTTCTGGAACAGTCTTAAGGTGAACATTAGTAGCTCAAATTTATCTTTTAACATTGTCCTTTCTTGCAGTTCTATAAACAAGAAAATAATTGGTTAAAAATAAAACTCAGTTATCAAGAAATACTTGTTTTCCTATTAACCTTCTTTTAAAGATGGGGAATCCAATATTGAGAGGTGATGCCAGATGACCAGTTTAATACAGTAAAATATACCATTTGGTTACAAAGACAACTATAAGCTTTGAAGTTACTTTTTTCCTTAGCAAACTTGCCTCTCAAATACAGATAATAAGAGATGGACTATGAAGAAATGATTTATTGGACAGACACATTGAGAAGAGAACCTTTGCTCACGTCTTTGGCTTTAGGGTTACGTAGAGAACTGTACAAATGGCAGACTTCATACATGTTGTTACTGCATAACTGCAGTTCTCCCCTGAGAGTTGCATTTTGTTTCAGTGTTCATTTAGGATATCTGGCACTTACACTCTAATGAATAAAGTGAGACTTTACGAAACATCTGTGAGTGTAATAATAATACTGCACTTCACACAAGGAGTGTGTTTTGGTCTGTCAGTTGGTCAGAAATATTTATTGAACATCCCTTGATGCAAAGTCCAGTTCTAGGGACTAAGAAAGACAGCCCGTGCCCTCTGAGTCACCATCAAGGTAAAGAGATGAAACGAAGATGTCAGAGGCTGCTATAAAACAAGTGTAAACTACTTAATTACCAAAGGACAGCCCTGTTTCTTAGGAACCGGAGTGTGGTATTCAAAGCCATAGAGCACTTAGAGTGGTCACATTTCCCAAAGTATAGTTGCTTGTGCAGGTAGGACATCAGGTGTTTTCTATTCAGTAGGAAATATTCTACTGATAGGATATAAGCAAGGAAAGTCCCTTGAAGATGAAATGGAAAGTGTTTGTTATTCAGTGACTGGGAAGTGTCTGGTGCTGAGGTAATTCATTTACTAAGTTAAATGACATTCACTAGAGTACTTTTACTCATTAATGTCACTGCATGGTAGTATAACCCCATCCTGCCTGGGAACTGCATATGTTTTAATGAAAAAAGTGCATATCCTAGTGGATGTATACCAAGAAACTTCATAGCATGAATTCTCTATAGACTGGTGCAGGGCTTTTTATCCTGGGATCCATGATCCTAAAATTGTATATAAAATCTTATATCTGTGGATTTTTTTTTTTCTGGGGGAAAATCCTTAGTGTTCATTAGAACCCCCAAAGAAAATAAGTAATGCTTAAAAAACATGCAGTTTTTATCATAAGGTCAGACTCTTAGCCCTTCATTCAACATACATTTAAGTATCCACTCATAATTTATGCCCGACACTACGCCAGGTCCTCAGGTACAGCACGTGAGCAAGCTGGGTCCTCTGTGTGTGCCACTCCTAGTTGTGGTTGCAGCCCTCATACATGTGCTGTCACAGATTTCTCCAGGGACTCAAACTGCACTGTTACAAATGCTTACATGAACCAAACACCTCACTTTTGTTCACTCATAGGAATATTGCTTAAAAATTAAGTATATAGCCCTGGCCGGTATGGCTCAGCGGTTGGAGCGTCGGCCTGCGGTACAGAGAGACCCGGGTTCGGTTCCCGCTAAGGGCACGTGCTTCGGTTGCAGTTTGTCCCCGGCCCTGGTTGGTCGTGCGGGTGGCAGCCGCTCGATGTGTCCCTTCACGTCGATGTTTCTCTCTCTCTCTCTCTTCCTCTCTCTCCCTCCCGCTCTATCTGAACAAAAAAAAAAAATGGAAAAATGTCCTCGGGCGAGGGAAAAAAAAAAAAAATTAAGTATATACTCAAAGTAATAAAATTGTTCAGAACTATTTTTTCAGACAGTTATACACTGGATTTTATAATTAAGATAATGT